TTTTATTGTTTTGTACACTAGCCCCCCTCCCTCTTTTAACAAATTTATGTAAAACTGTAACATAGTATATGCATGCATTTGTCAATCATATAACTATTCGAAATTTTTATATTTCTTACCTTGCCGAACTACATAATTCATCAAGCTTAAATTAATACGTTTCTGGAAGCTTTATTATATATGGAGACAGAGAAGTCAAAAACTGTCTTCGTGATAACGGTACCAATCAAGTTTAAAATTGTTGTAATATAATTCGAGCCGAGTTGTTTTTCGGTTACCTACTTCCCACCACTTCCTTAAAAAAAAAAATAATATTTATAATATTGTCGCTTTTATACTTTATTTACGACTTTTCTTTTTTTTTTTAATTAGTTTAATATTAAATGCATGAAATCATTTGATACATGGTAGGCCTAGGGCATGTTTGCGTAGAAGCATAACATAAAAGCTAAAAAGTTTGTGGAACCTTTATAACTTTGGTGTAATAATAATAAACCCGCTGTGTTAACAACGTGGAAATTTCGTACAAAAGTCATTCACCAAAGAATATACTTAAGATGTAGGATATTACTGACTGGTTGCCTTCTGGTTAGTAGCTTAAAGTTAGGGATGGTGGCAATTAACCTTTATAGCTTTGGTGTAATAATAATTAACCCGCTGTGTTAACAACATGGAAATTTCGTACAAAAGTCATTCACCAAAGAATATACTTAAGATGAATTGCCACCATCCCTAACTTTAAGCTACTAACCAGAAGGCAACCAGTCAGTAATATCCTATCACCACACCCATGCTTTAGAACTGACTGTCACTATTATAAGGCACACACAATTTAAAGTGCTGAGAGTATTTCATGGTATCTCTTGGATTCGAACCCAGCTCACAGGGCCAACCTACATAAGCCATAATATGTATTATGTTCCCCAAAATTAAACCAATTCGTTATGTTTATCAATCGTTGTTGATTTACAGTTATATCAAGTTATCTAAAAAAAAAAAAAAATATTTGTTTCATTTCGGATGTGCTGTAAGTAAATTTAAACAATACTTAAATTAAAGAAACTTAAACTATTTATATTTTCCGAGTAATTATTAAAAATTCCGATATTCGTTCGTACATGTGAAGTTGTCGTAATAAGTGTTCGATATAGAAACAAGTACAAGAGAAACATATTGGAATTCTGTTTATTTTTAGTTTTTCAGGTCTTGATATTTATCAATTAAGATAAGGCTCTTTGAAGCTTGTTCCCTCATAGTACAACAGCCAGAGAACCGTTGACCTCCTTCTAGTATTCTTCTCCTTCGTCTTCAACACCATCAGCAGAGTCCATCCCGACTTCTTCGTAGTCCTTCTCAAGGGCTGCCAAGTCTTCTCTTGCTTCCGAGAACTCGCCTTCTTCCATCCCTTCTCCAACGTACCAGTGGACGAAAGCGCGCTTGGCGTACATCAGGTCAAACTTGTGGTCAAGGCGAGCCCATGCCTCGGCGATGGCTGTGGTGTTTGACAACATGCATACAGCACGAGGGACTTTGGCGAGGTCACCACCAGGGATAACGGTTGGGGGTTGATAGTTGATGCCAACCTTTATATTGAAGTATATGTTATACATTATTATAATAAAAGACAAAAACGAATTAATACATATATATAACCAATTAATTTTAAACACCTTACTATCGATGAGTGCGTATGAAATGGATTTTACCGTTTTGATTCCGTTCAGAGATATAAAATAAGCATGATCAAAAGCATAGAAAAATAACTGAAAACATATCTCACCTTAAACCCAGTTGGACACCAATCCACGAATTGGATGGATCGCTTGGTCTTGATGGCAGCAATGGCAGCATTGACATCCTTGGGAACAACATCACCTCTGTACAACATACAACAGGCCATGTACTTGCCATGACGAGGATCACATTTCACCATCTGATTGGCTGGTTCAAAACAAGAATTGGTGATTTCAGCCACTGTAAGTTGCTCGTGGTAAGCCTTCTCGGCAGATATTACAGGAGAATAGGTTACCAAGGGGAAGTGGATTCTGGAAGAACAAAAAACTTGTGAGCGAAAGCAAAGAAAACACCAACCACACTATATTTGCCCTGTTGTCAGTAATGATTTCACATCGGTATCAGAAATGTTCAAGTTATGTATAATTAATATTCAGATCAATTTTATATTTTCCGGGGAAGTGAATAGGCACCAAGACTAGAATGAACTCGCAATCATAGGTGTTAATTGTTTTGAGATTTAAAAAGAAAAATCACTAAATACAGAAAACTAAGTACCTTGGATAAGGGACCAAGTTAGTCTGAAATTCTGTCAGATCTACGTTTAAAGCACCATCAAAACGTAAGGAAGCAGTAATGGAAGACACAATCTGACTGATCAATCTGTTTAGGTTAACGTAGGTTGGTCGTTCAATGTCCAAATTGCGTCGGCAGATGTCATAAATAGCCTCATTGTCTACCATGAAGGCGCAATCGGAATGCTCCAGGGTGGTGTGAGTGGTCAAAATGGAGTTATAGGGTTCAACAACAGCAGTAGAGACCTTTAAAACAGAAAAAGCAAACGTTCGATTGAAATTAAATTTCGTTTATTACACTAATAAGTTAAAATTCCTAAGTACTGCAAGAGGAAAATTAATACAATTCATCAGATGAAACTAGTATTAACCGAAGTTTCACACAAAAAATACATCACCAAAATATTAGAAAAGAGGAAAAATATGGGAGAGGGGGGGGGGGGGAACAAGTAATATTTTGACAGTTTATAAATTTCTAATTTAATTCACATATTAAAGAATGTTGTTAGCATTACACTCATCCCAACTGGCTTTCATTCAAAATTTATCAATAGAATAAAATCACGCGAGTTTGACAGTAAGAGTTTTTAAAATCAACTAACCTGGGGAGCAGGGTATATGGAAAACTCTAGTTTTGATTTTTTTCCATAGTCAACTGAAAGTCTTTCCATGAGAAGGGATGTGAAACCTGAGCCAGTACCCCCTCCAAAACTGTGGAAGATTAGAAAACCCTGAAGACCAGTACAGCTGTCTGCCAATTTCCTGATGCGGTCCAGCACGAGGTCAACGATTTCTTTACCAATTGTGTAGTGTCCACGGGCATAATTGTTGGCAGCATCCTCCTTTCCCGTGATGAGCTGTTCTGGATGGTAAAGGGCACGATATGCCCCTGTACGAACTTCGTCTGCAAATTAAATTTAGCTTGTTTATCTTTATTATAGAGACATCTTGTGACTCAAACAAAGTATAAATATGGCCCAGTTGTGATTTTATGAACTTAAAAAAAAAACGTGGGTAAATATTTGAGGGGAAAAAAAAATAGGAGTGATTCTG